TTGGTTAATGCCAAAACATACAGTAAATCATATTAGGTGTATATGTCGTGTTCATGAAGTTAAATTATTATCATGCAGAATATATTTCACATTTCAGGCCAAACTATACCTCTTATGAGGATGTCAATATTATTCAGTTAATTGATTATCATGATTTTACATGTCACAATAAAATTGTAAAACTAATAATTACAAAAAATGTAAAAGCCACTCATTTCAATACAATCCTATATAGTCCAAATTTTAAACCTATCTATCTTTCCGTCTATTTATGGCACATTAACTCTATTTTATCATACGGAAAGTTTGATTTCAGAAAGCTGGGCACATACTGGAGGAATGATAATTTACTGGACAATGTGAATGAAAGTGTTTTTTACTGTGTCTATAGGTATTGATAATCATGAATAATTGTATAATTGAGATACTTTTTTCCACACACAAAAACTGACAATAAAATTTTATCTTGTGATAACATAGAATACTTATCTATCACAGAATAACTATATAAGAAGATCTCTCTTATAGTGACTCTTCAAACAGTCCCTTTTTAGTGCCCCTCCCCCTTTAGCCTCTGGTTTGATTGTCACTCTATTTTTCATTTCCACCTGCCATCACTGTGGGACTTTTGATTTTCCTGGTGTGATTGACACCCGCCAGCAGATAATCTGGAGATGTGATGAGCCGTTTCCACAGCTAACCCGGGGCCAAGTCTCTGTTTGTTCTCTCCTCATGGGCTTTCAGTGCTGCTTCTCAGACTCACTCGAGGGCCAACTGCTAAGGGATCACTTTTGGACTTGATATTGAGCTGTACAGACTCGAGCTAGCTCATGTCAAAATCCAAAGTACTGCCAAAAGTTTTAGAGAGATGTGAGAAAAAAAAACTATTACTATTTTGTTTTGAAAATGTGGATCATGATTTTTCTTTAGCTGTTCTGCACATTTAGAAAAAGACTTTACATATTCAAGTTGGGTCTCAAAGTTTTTCATTTTATTCAAAATATTATCTCCCAAATTCTGTGCATTTAGTAGGATTCACTTTTGAACTTGGTATCAGCCTGTATAGTCTCACAATTCATCAAAACATCCAGTGTGCACTGCTGCAGCATTGGCAGTCAGGACAATGCCTGCTCCTGATAGTGCTCTGCTCACTCTACCTGCTTTTGCTCTTCTCTCTTTAGCTGATAAATAAAAGCACTGCCGCCTCCCGCACCCCTCGCCTGCGCATTTATCAAGAGAGCTGAGCATATATCTCGTCCCATGGCCAATCCCAGTCACTCCCCCCAAGATGAATAACACTGGAGTTCTTAAGGTCAGGGAAATATGGCTACTAAAACTCTCAAAGTGAACGTGACCATTACTATCGCCACAATACAGTCATCCCATCCCTCAGCCAGAGTCCCTCTAAAATATAGCCCCAAAGAAATGCACAGGCATTTTTCAAGTAGCGGTGACCCTGCTCCAGCACCGAGAGTGGCTGTTCCCTTATCAAATTAGTAATAAAAAGTACTTAAGCAAAAACAACACAACTTGGACAGAAACTTTCCCAAGCCACTGAAAACCAAGGGTTAATCAATGAGAAATAATTCAACCGGGATTTAAGACAGGACTTCACTCGGACTACAACAGGAATAAACTAAACCAGATATCTTTTTAACGTAACTTAATGTCCCAAAATAATTATTCAGACATGTTTTATGTAGTGATGACCTTGCAGCAGCAGAGGCCACTCCCTTACCAAATAGTTCTAAAAATATGAATATATTCAGTGTTTTTGCAAAATAATTTCCGAGCAACAAAAACGGGAAAGCTGCTACCAATTAACTTCATTACAATCATTACACACATTAAGCTAAATAATTGTTTTTATGCAGCACTAATTTTCTGTGCCTGGTAATAAATGCACAATAATTTGTCTTACTATCCTTTTGGTGCCCTCTAACACCTGTCTGGAAAAATGTTGTCACGACTACAGATTTTATCTCTGGGTTGATTGCCCGAGTTTAACATGTTAATGCAAATGATGCTGCCTTGGTTAAACCTGTTATTTTAGGGTATGTTAACAAATGTTGCTTATTGCATTTGGTTTTTATATGCACTTCTTAAATTATAACATGTGTCTTGCCTATTCATTGTTAGCAGTCTTTCCCAAACAGAATATGTTGAGGAAAATTGTGATATCTGCAGACAGAGAGATCTTCATGGATATAATAATTTTCCATCACATTCATTGTTCAAGGACAACTTTAACTGTTGTTTTCACCAAACAATGGCTTGCAGTCCAAACTTAACTACAAAAATAATGATTATCCACTAAAACACAAAAGACAAATAAAACTACAATGTCCAACTGAAAGAAATAGAGGGGAGAACAAACATTTATTAACCCTCTATTCTTTTAGCTTCGCTTTTTAAAATTTTAATTATCTTATCCAAGCATACATGGATTTAAATATGTTTTTTTTTTCTAGTATTTATTTCAGACGCCCTTCCTTACTTTTCAAGGAGTAGCCCAATAAATACACTGGCTGATCGCCTAAAGAAAGGTTCAGCTTTTGAAATTAAAAGTCATGTTTATTCTAAACCTCCTCAAAGAATTTACAGCAAGGGCATCCACTCAGCAGTTTTATCAGTATAATGTCTGTGAAGGGAGCCTTTAGTTTTCCATAAAAGCTAATAGGCAGCCGTTCTGGTTGAAGTGTCGCTGATGCTGACAAACAAAATCACGCTGCCATTTCGCTTATTCTCATCTTTCACACATCGCCATTGTTTCTGCAAACACATCTGCTGAGGACAGATTGGGGCATGTATTCTTCAGAGCTTCATTGTAAATAGTGGGTGTATGAGAACAATGACTGGCATCTATGTGGATATATCTTGCTTCTCTGGAGATGAGCTACTGACCTTTGATGATGGGGCTCAATGTGTTTCCTGGTTCACTGCATTAGGCCAACAGAGACTATAGCTGGGAACAAGGCTATATATATATATATATATATATATATATATATATATATATATATATATATATATATATATATATATACACACACACACATACATATATATACATACATATATACATACACATATATACACATATATATACACATATATATACACACATCTCTCTCTCTCTCTCTTTCTCTCTCTCTCTCTATATATATATATATAGATATATAGATATATATATATACACCGGTACACACACACGCACGCGCGCGCGCACACACACACACACGCACAATGTTTCCATCCGCATATACGGTAAATTTGAGTGAATATTCATCCACCCCCACCCTCGCGGCGCACTGGTCTATCTGATCACATCAATCAGCGCAACACACATAATTTAATTTAATAAGTCACTGGACTCACTGTTTACCAGAGATAATACTATTTATAGAATTCTCTCTTTATTTCCATGCTTGCCTGAAAATAATTGTCTCTCCAAGTGCAATTAAATGCAGTCTAAAGTTACCTAGGACGGCACTGGGACCGAAGCAAAATTTAAACAGAATGAAAATAGTACTTTGGCTGTAACCTGTTAAAATGCATCTTTCCTGTTAAAAGTAGTATATAATATGTACTGTGCACTGTCCCACTGTGTTATTAAATTAATAAACTAAACTAAAATAAAAATAATAATTCTGCATACCACCAATTGCACCTATGCTACCATTTGAAACCCTGTGCTGTACAAGATGCCACCCAGAGACTGTAGATTTCTGGGTGGAAGACTGCAATAGTCTTCAGTCTTTGATATCTGTGGGGAGTGACAGATCTCTCCTTTAATGTCCATCTGGTCGGCAGTGGACCCCGCGGTGCCGCCTCAGCCCTCCGCGGCGTTGCCATTTCAGATCTTGACAGAATGCACGTTGCTATGTAAATGGCATCGCACAGTGCTCCTGCCTTGTGCTGCAGCTGCTACACAACACTGATTATACATGTATACAAACACAGATGTGTGCTAGAACAACATAGCACGGTTGTATGTTTGCCTAATTCAAAGTGACTGGTTACAATGGAGGCGGTGTTATGGTCTAATTCTCCCCTGTAACAATAGGTCAGTGGGGATTGCAGTGCAGACACAGGTGAGAAGACTGGATATTACTGAAGAGGTAAAGGTCATGCCTGTTCAAATTAATTATGTATTAGTTTGCAAAAGGGCTCAATAAAAAGCTCCAATTACCAACAATTTAAACCAAAATATTAAATGGGATTTTCTGTGATGAGGTTATATTTTTATTCTTCTTTTGTTGGTGGGTGTTAAGCAAATAAACCGAAAACTGTAGCGTGTGAACTGTAAAAAGTGTGAAAACTCTATTCTTGGCTCTTGGAGCACATTTGGTACAGTAAAATAATTGCTAAAATCTATTCGGTCTATTTGGTTAGAAATAACGTTGTGATTATTTTACCAGGCAAAATAAAGGTGCACTGTGCAACTTTTCTGGTTGAGGGTCCAGTACCTGATTGTCTCCATAGAAATGTTATTACTTTGTGTAGAATGTTACATTTCAAATCTGTAGAGAGTCTCCCCATTCACAGAAGTAACTATTGTACTTTTGAACAATGTAATGAATAAATGCTAGATGGATATGTTCAATGTTATACCATGGAATATTCCAGGGAAAGCAATAACATCTCCACGGAGACAAGCAGGTAACGAACCCTCCACCAGAAAAGTGGTGCAGTGCACCTTTAAAATGCATCTGCTACCTGTACCTCTTGTACTGTTAAATTTTTTAAAACCTACACTCTAAAAAGTACTACAAAAACCCAGCATGCCCTGATAACACTGGGCTCATCTACGCCACCTGTTATGAGTCAGAGCACATTCAGTCATCAGTGGCTCAGCTATTATTAGCCAAATCAAACTAAACTGCTCCCTAATTATGTCTCTTAGAAAAAAACAGACAATGTGAAGCATGAGTCAGGTGTGAAAGTGGTGAGCGGCGTGAGTGTATGTGTGTGTGTGTGTGTGGGGGGGGGGCACTCACTCTGGGGGCACTGCTCGCTGGTGCAGTTGAGGGACTGGATGTCGACGCCCTGACAGTCTTTGCCCCCTGTGCCAGGTGTGGGCTGGGTGCACTCTCTGGTCCTCCACATGGAGCAGTCTGCTCCACATGCTGACCATTTGCTCCACTCGCTCCAACCTCCGTCCACTGCAACATACCAAAATACACCAGCTCCATCATTACAAATGCTTTTGTATTCAAGAGAAGAATATTGATTGTGTAAATCAAACTGCATAAGGCAACTTAACTTATACAAAAGTGTAAGAAAAGTCACAAGCTGAGGAGGAGGTGAAAATGTTAAAGCAGTGGTGTTCAGACATAAACATATTGTATGTTACACAATGTAAAGTTAAAGGTCTTCAGTATATCCAAGTTTTTGAGGGATAAAAAAATACCAATTCAAAAACAACTGAATAATTGAATAATGAAAATGCCTCAAAATATTGCCTGTAAATAAGAAACAAGGAACACCCATGAATACAATGAAGTTAAAAAAATACCAACATGTTGCAGTTGTCAGATGTAAAGCACTGGTGGTTAATAAAAAACGTATTCGCCCTAGAACTAGTAGATTTATGCCAATCCTAGTCTCAAGGAACAAGTCCATTAACTTAACCATAACCCTTTTGCGAAGCTGAATTAAAAGAAAATGTTAGTGATATTTTACTTCATCATGTGAAATGGGAACAGGCAGATGTCTTTGTTTTTATTGTGTGCAAATCAATTTTTGAAACTTGATAGTGAAAGCACCACAGGCCATGCAAATCTGCATTTACACACAGTATCCATATGTAACCACAGAACGTGTCAAACTGTATTGCCGCGAACCATAACATCCTACATCTTACTTTTTGTTTATTTGGGAAATTTGGGTTGGAAATGAGAAGCTGTACCACACTATGTAAGCTGAATATCAGGTTCTCCATCGGTCTCCAGAAAAATATTGTACTTGTGTTACAGTTGTTACAAGCAAAATATACCCAAGCTTGTTTAATGTGCACTATCTACTGCATATTTCCATATGAGCCACAATGCCACTTACATTACTTTGCAAAGAAACAAATAGTCATTACACCAGCAGCTCTATAACTTCAAACATTGTTCCATATCAGCATGAGGAAAATGGAAATCAGCTGGTAATAGTTGTGGTACCCTGCTGTACGAGGAACAGCACTCACATACACACACACACACTCAGATGGAGAGGCCATTTTGAGAAGGTGGGGGTAATTTGGCATCATGGCCTGGGAGGAGGCGGTGGCCCGGAGTGATATTGAGAGTGACACAGCGCAAAGCCTGGGGAAGGTTACCATAGGGCTAATGGGAAAAAAAGCAGTAATGAGCTCTCATGGGGGAAAAATGCCACTGTCTCGCACTTTCTCTGTCCCAAATGTAAGGGGGGGGGGTAGCGGGTCGAGGGTGGAGGTGAGGGCGGGGTGGAGATGTGGGATAGACCAGTGCAGACTGCATACATGGCTCCATGACAGTTACTGATCCCAGGCTGTGAAAATCTTAGTGCTCATTAATCCCAGTAATAAAGAGGTCAAAGGGCGAGACCTCTGGAGAACAGGTCAGACCCGTCACAGATTAAAAAAAAAACATTCAGTAGTGTCATGGGCCTCAGGTAGGGTGGCTATCCTGTTAGTTATAGTTCCACTCCCCCGTGTTGTTAGGTTGAACAGATGACAAGATAAATAAAAAGTATGGGTCCAGGGAGGAAAGAACCAAGGAAGAAAAATGATGAGTGTCCAGATTTCCAGCCAATATCCATGACTGAGGTTTAGACAATAAAACAAGCTCTTAGTGATAGCTACAGTTTAAGTATTTTGCATTTAAAGGATCCTAATTTGTAAAATGCTTCCAAATTATATGGTTTGAAACACAATTATCCAATCTAAAAAACTTGCAAAAGTGCAATAGGTCGCAAGCCTGACAGAAACAATGCCAAATCAAAATGCAAATCTGGCACCTGAAATGCCAAGCCAGGGGAATGGCAGATGGAGAAGAACAATGAACTGTAGTCAAATCTCTCTGGTTACGTTTTTTCAACCAAAATTTTGTAGTGAAGAATGGCCCAGGTGTGCTCAGTGCTCTGGAGCAAAGACTATGTGAAGGATGCTGACACAGCGCGGGCCTCTGCAGTCGGATCCATTTGGCAGAGCGAGCAGAACCAATCAGATAATTGTCCTTGTTTGGCATTGAGTGGACCCATCCGTGGGCCAGTAGGCTGATTATCCAGGCTGGGAATGAGAATGATTGAATAGTGAATTACATCCTAATGAATATATTATGTCGCCCCTCGGTTTATCCACGCTAAATGTGAAACAAAGAGCTGAGAACAACAACTGCCCTGATGAGGTGATGAAATTCCTCCTCTGAATCTCTCCACAAGGCAAGACTAATGCCCATGCAAATAACCTTTTCAAACAGTGTGATTGGGAGGAAAATTGTGGAGCTCATGGTGGTGGAATGAAGAACAGCAGAGATGTGCCTGCCATATGTACTTCAGGCAACATGCTCATAACAAGGTTTCAGAAGAAAAAATAAAAAAACATATGAGAAATGTTCTTTCATTCCATCCAAACATCCACACGATAGAAAGCTATACACTTATATTTTCTTGTTTTTCGACTGGACATTTATGCCCTACCTGAACCATTTTCTTTACACATAAAAACTGTTATGTACAAACACTGTGGTGCTTATTAAATCCCCAGAAAGATGTTATTAACGGCCCAGCCAAGAGCCCCACAGCCGCTTTTCAATCACGCCTCACAACAGGTTTCAGGTCAGCCAGGTCTCTGAGGAGGTACAGCTGTACAAAGCCCCAGTGGCAGGTCCCCATTTGGACATGGCAGCTAAAAGGAGCACGGCTATAGGCAGGAGGTGGGAGGCCTGTGTTTGAGGCCAAGCTCTTCAAAATCACAATGGCCGCTGACTGCCTTAGCCTGAGATCATTGGACACCCATGGAGCCTGTGTCCTCGAGGGGAACACAAGGAGGGAGACAAGCAGCACTGGGAACAGCAGGTCGCCCATGCTCCTTGCTCCTGTCAACACACGTGTGCACAGCAGCCCCCACCCACTAGCCCACAAAGGAGAAAGCATTTGGGACTAATCATGAAAAATTATGTTCTTGGATTGTCTGAGGCCATTTCTGTCACCACTTTCATTTGACCATACAAGAATTGTTTGCTAGATTTAGAGAAATAAAAGCGTTAAAGAGAGACTAGAAGGTGCACTTAACATTTTGGCGAAGGATGCCCATGGAGATGTTGGTGTTTAGAATACACCGTTTGGCATTAAAACTTACTGTCCTGCATTTTAATTACAAATGCTTGTACTGCTAAAAGTTCAACCTATAACTTGGTCTGATGGCATTACCTGCTTACCTCCATAGAGAAAGAAGAGTTTGATTCCATGATTTAGGCAGAGCAATGATCTCCATGGAGACAAGCAGGTGGCAGACCCTCCTCTTCAACAGTAAGGTAGTGCAAATCTAGTTTGTGCTCTGATTTATACAAGATAGGAATAAGGATAGTACATGGTGCAAGGTGAACATTACATTTTAAGCTCTAAATCTAAGGTCTGGTATGTTCTGCCCACACTGAATCCATTGGGTGTGGTTTTATTTTTTTTTATTAAATGGCCATGGAATGGTGACTAATTCCAGCACAGATAGGAACTTAAAAGATGCTAGTAGAAAATCAATAAATGGATAGGAGGCTTGTGTTAACTAAGCAGCAAGAATGAACTCAAATGAATGGCACAACATATTACAAAGATGTGCCCGCACAAATGGTGAATGAGTACGTGTTGTGAAGGCAGTCTGTCACCAGATGGACAGCAAAGTATTTTTCTTTGTCATTTCTAAGCTGTTATTTATACATCTCTAAGCTCAAAATGTGTGTCTATATTAATCTTCCCAGAGAAACACAAATGCTGTTTCCAAAAGCAGAGCCTACAGTGCAGACAGTAGACATAAGGATGCTAACTTGGATGAGGACAAGATGTACAAGCCCTGCACACAGACTGTTTGCACAGAAACGGCAGCTCCAAGTCTGTTTATTCTCCATCCTCAAGAGTCTTCTAGCTAGCCTCTGGGATCAATACATTAGTTAAATTATTCAGGTTAATGTTAGAGATTACCACAGCGTATGTAAACCTAAGTACATGTTACTATTGGCCAGGCATATTTATTTAGTGTAGTGTTTAAACTAGTTATTTTCAGACCAGGTTGTGTTTTGCAAAAAAAATTGTACGGTTTCGCTTGAGGCACTACTTTTTATTGGCAGTGAAATGTCTGCTATCACAATCAATGAGAGGATGAGGACAGCAGTCTGTGTTTCTGCGGGTACTTGAGTGTTCTTTCTGAAGGCAGCCGAATGCAGGAGAGTGAGGAGAAATGGAGATAAGCCGGTGCATAGCTGGACTGTTGGCTGTCTGTGCTGTTGATCTGCGGTACTTTGAGCCCCAGGCTTTAGCCAGCGCCTCCTCCACAGCTCCCTGTGTCTCTCTCAGCATGGAGCCCATCTGATCCACCACACAGGCCCCGCCAACTCTCATTAAACATGCTGAGACTTAGACAGACATACAGAAGAACCTCATGCTTCACACTTTTACGACAAGGAAAGCGTCCTTTAAGAACTTAGTACTGAGAACACCTCTCTCTTCATTCTGTTATGAGAACTGTTTTGTGGTTTACATTCACAATGCGAACTTGGTAGAATAACAAATCAAAATTGTAATATTTCATTGTTCATAGCAAGAATAATAAACAATAAGTCTGACAAACCTTAAAATGTATTCTGAGCCCAACTGGAGTGTTCCAGCTTCAGGCCCAACAATGCAGTCCAAACCTTATTAAAACATGAATAGAGCACATTTTAGAGCTACTTAAAATTGTGCTTCTGTTCACAAGTATTACATAGCAGAATAGATTTCAATCTCTTAACTGTTCACTCAGCTGACAGCATAAGTTAAAAAGGACAGACCCAGCAAATCCAAATGCCCATTAATGTGCAGAACCCATCTGCAACAAATTACTCTGAATCCAAAGCAGCAAAACAAAGTGTATTTTCTGAAATTCTTTTCAAGTTCATTAGCTCAATGCACAAGAGAGCAAATAGTCAACAAAGAATCCTGCTCTAGATAATTAATGAACTCTTGAAACAAGCCCCGCATTAAATCATGCAATTTTTAAAAGTGCTTCAGAACAAAGGAGCAGTGGAGGAAAAAAAAAACACTCTCAAGGCTAATGTAAAAAAGAACAACACGGCCTCTGAATCCAAATGGTGAATAAATGAATACTGTCCAGTTACATCATTGCATTTCAGTCACTGGTCTTGAATGATCAGATATCAGCCTCCAGTACATGAACAATGCCATTTTCAAATCCAAAATCCTCAAATTTACAGTAAATTCAAAGAGTCAATTCAGGACCAAGTGACTCAGAGTGATTGAGCTTGAGTTCTTAAGTTCACAGCAGTGTCTGGAGCCATCTGGAGACACATCATTGCAGACTACAGTGTGGTGACCTGCGCCCTCAGCTTGGGCCCGTGGCAGGTGTCAGCAGAGCAGGGCCGGGGGTATTCTCTGAGGTGTAACAGCCCAGTACAGCCGGACAACAGTGCTGATAGAGGTGCTCAGGGGTCACATGGTTGTGAAGATTCATCAACAGAGAAAAGGAGGGCTTTCTCTGCCTTCCCAAAACATCTTTACTGGGCGCATTTTCTGTCACAACACCAGGGCTGAAATTACACACATTCTCCTTGTGGGGCAGGAGTGAGGAGGGAGGGGTCTGCGCTAACAATAGCAGCTCAGAATGACATTAATCTCTGTAAGCTCATGGAGGTCACTATTCTGTGTTACTATAGGGGAATGTCAGGCGTCCCAGGACACCCCTCTCTTTCTATTACAGTGAGACCAAGTGCTAATAATTGCATACTCATTTGGATAGTACTCTGATGAAGGCTGTATTAGCCCTGCCCTCTCGCTGCCTGTATTCCAGTGGGCCATGTTACTTACACTCATGCTTGGCATCCAGAGATGTCTTTACATGGGAGATGTGTAACACAACACTCTGATTTACTCAGGGAGATAAGCTCTGTTTTAGGCTGGGGATGCTGTCACAGCTCAGATTGTGTTTCCCTGTGAGAGGGAGATCTCCTGCGGTCAGCATGAGGCATGGCCTATACATCCACTCACTCATGAGGTGAAAGCCACTGCAGCTACTGTATTCTCGCCTTTATTTGTTTGCTTTGTCCCTGCCATTCTTACACTGTATCTTGTTCCATCCCGCTCTTTGGTCCTTGTTCCAGCGTCCTCCTCTCTCCTCCTCTCAGTACTATCTGTGCCTCTATCACAGGCTAATGTGCCATTGCAAATGAAGCAGCTTGACTTCCATCTCGGGCTATAGCAGATCAATAAGAGCTGCTCACTATCAGGCAGGACACTGGGTCTGGTGCACGAGGGAGAGTGGTGCAGAAAATGAAACACACTTAATGCTTAACACATAAACATGGCACTCGGGCAGTCATAATTCAGCTTTTATGGCTTGTATTTACTGCAGAGCTGGTGCTACAACTGCAGGGGCTCCTCTGACACAGTGCTGTGGCCAGGAACATGTCTCTTAACACAGACAGGTCTCTGAATTCAAAGGTTCTGAACAACCCACCAGATTAAGAGATATGTGAACAAAGCAGGATGGTCATAAATCACAGTTAGCATGAGGTTGGTTGCGAAGAGTAATAGGCTGTGAAAGCAGCTAATAGAGGAAAACAACACAAGCACGGACTATGATAGGGCCAGGAGGTGGTAGTGCAGACGAGCAGCCAAAATAAAGATGAAGATGACTGCTGAATGCAACAAATGCAGAGGGGAAGCCACAGGAAGCCAAGCTCTACAGGACAGATGGGCGCCCGAGTTACCTGGACAGGTGGCCACACAGGCACTTTTCTGGACACTCTGCCCCTCACAGGATGTCCCTCCATTCAGAGGCGTGGGATTGGTGCAGCTTCGGCTTCTCTTCTGCCAGCCCCGCCCGCACACGGCGCTGCAGGATGACCAGGTAGTCCACGTGGACCAGCCGCCGTTGACTGTTAGAGGAGCACCCAACATGGAGGGGTGAGGGGTGAGGAGGGAGGGGACAGAGTAGCAAGGATTACCTGACATGCACCAAGGACAATATAATCAAGAGTGCTGTTTGGCTCTTTGGTTCTGCATAGTGAAACGAGAAAGCAAAGCAGCCCATTTGCCAGATCCTCAGAAGTGACATCCAACTGCAGTGAAAACAAAAGCATTTTAAGCAGAATCTTCCAGACATAAACAAATGTCTGTAGATAATTTTTACTGAACTTTGTCTGGCTTGAACAAACAACAAAACATCAACCAAAATGTTCAGCTCTCAAATATCTGAACCATTTATCATTCCCATATAATCTGTGTCATTAGTCTGACCCTGTTCTTCTCAGAACTTGCAGAAAAAAAAAAAAAAAAGAAGATTTGATTTGATTTTGGATGGCAGGTGAAACACTGATAACAATTCAAAAAATCCCTGATGAAACAGAGATACCTGGAAATACATTATACACATGTGGAAAAACAAGTTAAAGATAATGTGGCAATAACTTCTGCTTTGCACAAACATTAGATCTGTTGCATCCATACTCGCAAAACCCTATATTTCCTGCTCATGTTCGCAGTGAGTGTGCCCTTATGTACTAGACACTTTTCCATTTGTTGGTGTGAACATTGCAGGCGTCAATCCTTTTCTTTACATACATCCTTCCTAATTTCCCCTTCACTCTTTTCAAAGCTTGTCGTGGCTGAATCATTTCCTTGGCCTCTCTTAGCAATTGATTGGCCGCCACTGTGAGGTAAATTGCTAGGCAGCTTGGCCCCTGATTACCTCTTAGAAGCAGGCGCAGTCCCACCAGCCAGCCGTTAAAATGCATCTCTGCCCCCCTGTTGACCCCTTTAAAAAGTGGACGTTATTATGGTTCGACAGCTCAGATCAGCCAGTCTTGAGGATTCTAACACTTTCTGATAAATAAAGTTTTTCAATTTCCACCAACATGGTCAATATAGTTGTAAAGGTCTGGGGTTTAAAACTCCATAATAAAAAGTGCTTTATGTTACTAGCAATTCCTCATAAGCTAATAGCTGATTATAATGAATAGAAAATAGCGTGCTTAAGGCATGGGTTGTGGTATAATGTGTTTGGTTAGATCAACACATTTCATTTGTGGCCACTCACCGTGAAAGTGCACATGCCTGAGTTGTCAATGACATTCATGGACTGCTTAAATGTTCTGGCTCCTTCGCAGATTTACATTATAGTCCAATTCACATGAGAACCACTAATGTTTAGGAAGCCGAAGCAATGATGACATCTTACTCTTATTGTATTGTTCATGTGTGAACTGCTTGTAGCATTTGACTATCTAACAATGTAGAGACCCCTTCCTCCCAGGTGGTTTCATCTTCCCGTTTGGAGACTTCACCCGTATGCTAATATATGCAAAAATGTAGTGGCCGTGTGCACAAACCCCTCAGTGATTTAAAAATAATGCTGTTTCGCTGCATTTTAATAAAGGTCAGTCTATTTATCAAGCCAAGTCATTATTTACACACACACACACACACACACACACAGTTAAATCACATTCTTTACTGATATTGAAGTGACTCAGAAAGGTTAGACAGGGACAGAGTAGAGATTAGAGGTGTTTTGTTAAAAGAGTGCTTTGCCAGGGATGTTTCAAGTAAAAAAATAAAATAAAGTGGAGAAGTTCTTCTTTAACTGAACAATGATAAATTGCATACTGTATGTTTTTTTTTTTTTTGCAGCTTACTTGAGCCACTTCAGGGTCTATGCACTGTCCTATTGTTTATCATTATTCTTAAAAAACACAGGTGAGCAAGTATTAAACCATTAAACAGAAGTTGCAATAAAAATAGTATTCTAACAAATATATATTTATTAATATATGCATATAAGAGGATAAGGGGAGCAGTAACAACAAATTTTCAAAACATTTCCATTTTAGCAATTAACTGTGTATGCTATACAACCTTGCTGTCGCAACCAGCGACAAAGAAGCATAACATGCATTCTTCAAGCAAGGTTCAATTGACAATAGACCCAAAAATGCCAAATACTTCTCCTATATTTTTGCAAACACCTTTGACTTGCCAGTGCTGTCTTTTTTGACTTGCAGTTTAGAAGTCATTATTTACACTGCTAAGAGCTCAAGGCATCCTGCCATGGCAATAATAATGGTGAAATTGGGAAACAGCATGCCCACACAACATGAATGATCTGAATTATTTATTGGCATGTTGTTTTTAATATAGTAAAGACCTCCCATTAGCCCCTACCCCTCACCTGGACCCTGCACGAATAGAAAAAAGCAGCTGTCTCTTACCATAGACCAGGACGGTCGCTGAGGTGCTCTTGCGGCGTGCCACGATGTTTTTGGCCACACATGTGTAGTTGCCCGTGTCCGCCAGCCGGGCCTTTTGATGACGAGATTATGGTCAGCAGTGATGAAAAAATTGGGGTCGCTCACTGGGTCAATAACATCCTCGTTTCTCTGCCACTCCACCTGCAAAGATGTTTCAGTCAGAATTCACTGACAGAGTGAAAATAGACACACTCATGCAATTGTGCCGCAAGGACAGTTTCATTTGGTTATATTCAGTGGTTTCACGGGTGTCGTTTTGAACCACTTTTCCACTTCTAATACATGCTGGCCACTGCAGGGCTGACAACACAAAAGATAAGTAGATCTTAGCCAGTCAATAGTAATAACAAAATGTGTTTTGTAGAGACATTAATTAAGGTTAAAATTACGGAAAAAAAGGGAAAACTAAATTTATGATGATGTTTAGTAATTGCTTGAAGCCAAAGTGTGCTGGAGAAAGTTCCCAATGAGACCCCAATTTGCTAAATTCTGGACCTCATTAAGAATGCAGAAATCTTCAAATAATTTCCAGGATTTTTTTGCATATAGAAAGTTGGATAATTAAATATTAAATTTTAAACTTTAGTTCAGCCATAGAAATTACTTGTTCAAGTTAGGTGAAACTGAACACTTCAGCATTTTAGTAAAAGAAAATGCATTTCACAGTGTCCCATTTAATTAAGTGATGCTCATTATTTAACATGCGATCACTATTTTTGTATGACAATGCATCTGGGCCATGTTATTCAAGAATAAAGTGTTACAATGTCCAAAAAGAAAAAAAACAACTAAAACAAATAAATAAAAATAAAAACACCAATTCTTGACCATCTCTGTCTCTTGGTAGTACTCTGCACTGGCTGAAAATGCTTTGCACCCTGAATAATAGTACTTTGTAGAATGACTGTGACCTCTACAGAAGCCATAACTGATGTTTTGGTGTACTTTGAGATTGGCTTGCTTGTTTTCCTGCTCTCACTTGACCCAGTGCCGTCTAGAGAGAAGCTAGAGTGCTACAGTATTGTTGTTGGTTCTGCTGCCTGTTGCAATTCCGCATATAATTGGGCTCTCTTCCTCTTGTGCACCACTCCACAATTGTTTGACTTCTGCTCTCATGTTGTTATGTGTTTTGAACTGTGGTTGGCACCTTTTCCCCTATTTTCCCTGTCCTGACAGTGGTAGAGCTGTGATTGGCTGGTGTCCTACTGGTTGCCTTTACGTCCCCTTGTGAGGTCATTAGACAATTTAGTGTCAAGTTGGGACCAAGGGAAATACTGCAGTCCAGACCAGCGTAAGTCCAGTCACCCAAATACTAAAACATGCCCAACTTGGACACACTCAGACAGATGTGACGGCACTAAGATAGAAGACAGGAAGAAAGCGGCACAAATAGAGACATTAATTATGAATGGGCCTTTAGAGATGCCAAATGTGGACTGAAGCGTTTCCTAGGCTTTACCGACCTGATTCGATGAGCCAGTGTGATATAGGGCTTCACTGAGATGTAGGAGAGATAATAAATCAATAAAGGGAAATAATTAGAGGCGTAATTCATCCTAGTGGCGCACAGAGCTGCTCCTGAACCTAGACCTGCTCTCTGTCCTCTGGTAGGGAAAGAGTAAATGAATGGTGGATTTAAAAGGGCTATAAATAAGGGGCGTATGCGAGTCTCACCTCAGCCTGTGGCACTCCCTCGGGGGGATGGCAGCGCAGTAACACCTCCTGGTCCAATGCCACCTCTTTACCCTGTGGTTCCTCCTCAAAGTTCTTTCTTAGGTCTGGCGGGAAAGGTGAAAAAGAGAAGCAACCAATTACAGCTAGCAAAGTCACGCTGTTATGCATATATTTTTGTATATTGTATTTTTTATAAGAATTTACAGAGCCATACTCTAAAATGTACAGAAGAATACATACTGAAAACAGCAACTGCAAAATCTATGAAGAAAGCAATGTGTACAGACTATGTGTTTGGTAGTAAGTACCACATTATAACCCTTTAACTGATTAACAAGACCTTTCACAAAAAATGTAATATGCAACTTTAGTTCACTGACAATTCAATACATTGTCACATCTGGCAAAGAGAAGTTTTTAATGTTGTGCATTGTATATTGTCAGTTCTGTTGTGGTTGCATATTTTAGCTGTTTATTCACAATGCAATGTGCTTTTTATGTTAATTGTGCCTATTTCATGTTTAAGGTGCACTATGTAATGCAGGGGCTACTCATTTTAGCAGCTGCAAGAAACTGAAGACACGGAGGGCAAGCCTTGGGCACAAAGTTGGGCTTCAACATACATACATTTGCAATGTTAATTCGTATCTATGGAGTAAGACAAATACGCACAGATTTCTATTTTATGCGCACAAATATTTTTGACAGCTTTCTTACTCCATACGTATGTAATTAACCAAATTTTGATTATTCAACACAATGGTAAAATTATGAAATCCCTTGGCAAGCTACTTGCAAGGGGGCGGAAAGTTACTGGTAACTCCCAAGCTACATGTTGGAGACCCCTGATGTAATGTGTCTGGTGAGGGGGTCCACTCTGCTTGTATTCATGGAGTTGTTATTGCTTGGCCTACAATGTTCCACAGTCTGGCATTAAATGTTTATCTTTATGGAGACAGAAACAGGTAACCCTAACCCTAACCCTACAGGTATTTAAAGTTATAGGTCTTTTTTTAACATGTAAACACATGTAACTGAATAAATACAAGATGGAGTTTAAGTGTAATGCCATACTTTGAATCTTTAAAAGTTTAAACATCATGGAGATGAGCAGGTGACGAACTCCAAAAAAGTTATATAGTGCACTTTAAACAAACAGTAATGAATAACCAAAAAATTAAAATAAATCTTTCTTATTTTTGTGCATCATTTTGAACACTACCTTAAGGGCCCAAAAACCCATGTGTGTTGAGTTTTTAAAAGCAAACACTTCTAAATCCTGGCTTGTTGATCTTCCTAAATTTCCCCTCTCCTGATATGGCCGGGTACTAGCTCTGGCTCGGCATCTCGCACTCCAGTTGGTCCCCTAAGCCACGCAGGGATCGGTGGCACCAACCATGCCGCTTATTACCGGCTTCCTGCTTGGTTCAGAGATGCTTGTCTGCAGCCAGAGGGGCCCGGCATAAAGTGAAAGCAATTGCATTAGCCCTCATCCCTCCCTCTCCCTCCCCCATGCTCTCTCCTCCAGCATCCTCCAGCCTTCCATCTGTATGAGAGCTTGGAGCCGCCACGCCAAAACAAAGCCCTGCGGCGACTGGACAAGTGCTCCTACAAGCCTGGCTGCCTGCGCGGGGTCCAGCATTTCCTCTCATTGAATACTCTTACAACGACCACCGCCATATATATTTGGGGGTAAGCCAGGCTATGAATTACACCGGTAAAAAGGGCCACAGCCCATTTCCCACGAGGGCAAATCCATGATGCCCTATACCTGATGAGTTAGAGAAGGTTAGCGCAAAGTGGATATATTATAGCTTTACAGGACAGAGGCCAAGTGCAAGTGAAATCATACCCAATCATAGCCACTGTGACTTTAAAAGATGCATTGTGAGTTTACTGGGGAGGTCCATCAGTTGTTTGGGGTATTGTGTATGGTGCTAAACATATCCATCTTTTATTTTAAAACTGCCTGGTTTAGCAGAGTCACCTGCTTGTCTCCATGTAGACTGCAAAGTCCTATGCCTATGTGTAACATTCCAGGTAGGCCTGTCACAACTACTATTACTACATATTGTTCAATATATGAAAGCTGGAATAATATATTTTGTGTCTCAATATTTAATATATTAATATCTAATTCCAGGAAAAACAACATTTCCCTGGAAAAAGTAGGATTTGGACCCTCCATCTTAAAAGGTGGCAATGTCCCTTTAAGACTTTTAAGAATTTTACTACACTTGATGAGACTGGAGAGTTAAGATGCAGGCTACAGAAAGTATTATGAGTACATACTGTATAAATCATTATAAAAACACCTGGACAAGTCTTTTACATCAAATCGACTTCACGAAGCTCCTATACAAGTTGGTTAATGAGTGTTTGCTTGTACTTGCCAGACACTGCTTCATTCAGCTGTGCCTCAACTTATGCATATTTATATGAGATTTAACAGGCACAATGAGCTAAACTACTCCAATGTACAAAGCGCTTTTTTTTCCTAATAAAGCTTTTGAGGCTGTGGCTTGGGATGCGTCTGTGTTCCCAAGACAGATTTATGATAGCTGTGCAGTAATAAATTTCAGATCTGTTTTTATTCCACTGACTTTCATTGGGATCATTGCTGATACAGTGCATCCAGTGAATAATATGCTCATGAATACTCAAATTTAGTGTTCCACTTTTTCTCCAAGTCTAGCCTTGAGGAGACGCATTACTCTTGTACTGTGCGCCAGGCCTGACATTTGTTCTCATAAGTAGAATTGTAATCACTGTGATAGACTGTGGTGCATCAAATCAGAATGGCTCAGGGGCTAATTGGTAAATCAGAGTTGGACGCTCTCACACCAGCTATACTCAAACAACATGCGGTCTGAAAGCTAAATGGAGTTTAACACAGTGACCGTGCGCCAACATAATATAAAGATTGCTGTTAACTCTTGAATAATAAGTAGATTTCTTTAAACTTTTTTAAAAGAGTGCTGGCAATGTGAACTTGTTTAAAGGTGCACTATGAAAATGTTCCTGTGTGTCACCTGATTGTCTCTATGTAGAAGTAATTGCTCTGCCTGGAATGTTGTAGAGTATAGCATTAAAACTTGCTGCTGTTAATGCAATTACCTTATTGTCTCAATGAAAATGCATTCAAAATCTTAATGTGGAACATGCCCTTCAAAACAATAACATCTCCATGGAGACAAGCAGGTGGTGCATTCTCCACCAGAAAGGTTTATCTATTACAAACATTTTCTATGTTTGAGTCATAACAATGTTAAAGTTGCATTTCCATACATTAATTTGTGTAGGAATATTTGATTTAAAATCTTTCTTTTAAAGGTTCCTAGAGATTGAGATGTACTGGACAATTTCTAATGAATACATTTATATATCCGTAGTAACCGCAAAAAAACAAGAACAAAACAGAAGATATTATGTGGTTACGAGATGACAAGGTCAAAGTGTTTTCTACTGTAGCTAGAAATATAATAATAAACAAAATTAAATACTTTTATTTTACTTTGTCATAACAGATCATTCATCAGCGTTTGCTTTTGAAATTTGCGTATTTTGTAAACAGTTAAAAAAAAAAAAAAACTAAGATGTTTTTTGTTTTGACTGTTGCATAGTGAACTTACAAGCAATCCGGATGTAGGCTTTTTGGCTCTTCTGGGTTCCCGTTGTGCTCCATGCCACACACTGACACCAGTACTCGTCCAGTCCAAAGACCTTCTCCACCTGCTGTCTGGTGATTTCTATTGTCACCTGCATAACGGGCAGCACTGCAAAGACAATACAAAAACACACAGATAAGAGAGTGAAGAATAAAAATAATAGCAAAATGACCAGAAACATATCTTTAGCCAAGCTGGATTCTAGGATTTCTTCTGCAACTCTCAAACTAACGTGGCAGCATAAACAAGCAAAGGGTCATGGTCATATATAAACAGAGCTTGTTAGGTGGGGAAAATGGGAAGACCGTCTCTCAGCAGCTACCCTCGCTCTAATTTAGAGGACGTTAAAAACAACAATTGGGGAGTAACAAGAAAAATACTCAGCTAGACTTGTTTATTATTACACAGCTCCCATAAAGAAGGAAGGGCAGGAGGAGTTCAGTTTCAGGGATGTGCTGATTTAAGTAACAAAAGAAAAGCTAAGATATATTAAAAAATAAACATTTCATCTTAACCATTCAAACAATATAGATTTTTGTCTTTTTTGATATTTGAAAAGCAATCTTTCATTTCATCTTCTTTTGACCTGTTGTTCAGGACCTGTAATCCTGAGGTATTTTTGCTATATGGAACAGAACCTTAATCCCTACATGTACCACATAACTTTTTTGTGTTAATGATTGCAATATTTTTCTTGGATTTTCTATCTTCTCTATACAGTACGTGTGATGTTTTTTCTTTCTTTGGGACCATATAGAACCAGACAGAGCGGCCGTGAACCTTCATATGAGTGATTTACAGTCACAGAGGACACATCACAGTAGTGTATATTTAAGTCACGAATAGCGCACCACTTCTCAACAACCATTTACATAAAAGCACTTTGTGACACTTTCCCACTCCCCTTCAACACTTGATCTGTCTGCACTGATCATTTCCAGCTACTGGGTGAAGCCGACTCAAGCTTGACTAAGTGCCACCTATCAGACCATCAAACCTATACAGCAATTACATAAAGAACTGGCAGAGTATTCATCAAACTGGAATAGCCTTTTAGTTTTTTCTCAAACATTTTCGAGGTTAACTAGTGTACATGTGGTTGGAGCGATGAGCAGAGCAGAGTGGACCAGGCGCCAGCAGGCATGAGGCGGTAAGTGGCACGGGGAGGGTCAGTGGCAGACTTAGGTGCATTAGAGTCTAAATGTGGAAGATTTGGCTGTGTGCTGATGGAGGTGAATCCACGTCTATGTGCTGAGAATCCAGCCCGGAGCAACACCGTGAGCGTCAACAGCACTGCACACTCTCTGACAGAAACATTAAACCAAGCTGGGAAAGAGGAGACATATATACTAACAATTAAAAGTGTATGTCATTTGTTATTATTCATTAATAACTTAACTAATGTTTAGTTGATAAAAATCCAGTATTTTGTGGTTTAACACCAAAACAAAAGGAAAGAAAATTCTAATAACGTTTTTTGTGTTTACATTGCTTTGATTTATACAATATTTAAATTCTTTTTTTTTTTTTTTCATTGACTGACAGAGTGCCTTAATGAAGTATCCCTTAAATTATGTTTCCTTTTGATTACTGAAACTACTGAAAGATGCAGCTCTGTGTGAAAGTGGTAATTGGTGCGTAATATTCTGACCCATTTCATTTATTCTTTATTAATGTTCAGAGTAAAAATAAACAAGAGTGTTTATGTATGAGTCACTGATTGCTCTGAGCCTGTCATTACAGTAAGTAATGCGCTGGGCTGCTATGTCTGTGCAACTGGAGGGTGAAGGGTAAAGAGGGCCAATCTGAATGCACTCCTCACACTGAAGATAATGGGAGAGTGAATCCTGAGGAACCTCCTATATAGGAACAATAGAAACATTTGATGGCCCCAATTTATGGTGAGCCCTGAGCAGTTTAGCTGCACACAGTCGTGAGGAGAAGATTTGAATGCAAAGCTGAGAATGAGCTGTGTTCAGCGCTTCACTTCTACAGTAGAAATGCATTTGATTAATGCGAGCGCTCTGACTCTGAGCGAGGGGCTGAGGAATAAAGATCAGTATGAAGATGCAAGGCATGAACAATAGCAACCCGAGGTGAGAAATCCTAAGAAGAGCAATTTGAGGCTCTGCTTGGCCGCATAATTGCATTCTGTTTCCTTATCTCTTCCTGTCTCCATAATTACCTGCTTTCTGTGTCTGACACCTTCCAGTTACACCGCTGTGAGTCACTCTGTCCAATTTCACTCCAATTAATAAGTAGGACACAATCAGCTTATCACTTTGGGAACAAAATGGCACTGCTCTTCTATTGCAGTCAATAATTACTGGACAAGCCTCTGTTTACTGTTGTTTTCCCTGGACCTCAGGGGCAGCTGTAAATACAACAAAACTTTGGATGTTACTTACAAACCCTCTGATCTCAAAGATGTACAAGTGTACATTTACACTGTGACTGGCCCAAATGAGAATTATGTTATTTCATCTTTGCCCACACAGAGAAACGTGAGCCCTTTATAGAGTGATAATGTGGCATAATCCAAGTTCGGGCTTTTTGCTGGAACCCCACTGAGTTTATTTATATGAGATTACACTCTGGAACTTCACCAGACCTCACTCACTGTTGGGCCAAACTATATTATTAGAGCATTGTGGGGGATAATGATCGGCTAACAT